TCAGCTAGTGTTGGGAAATTTAAGTACTTGTCCCTTACAGCTCTCTTCCTTTCCACCCAGCTGTGGAACTCCCGTGCTCTCAAGGTTGGTCAAATAAGGTTGTTCTTATAACTTTCCAGTGTGCAGTGTACCTATCTTGACCCCAAGTGTGGTGATGCATGATTTCCTCCTATGCTTAGCCCATCATCCCCTGGCTTGGGTACATAAACCCATTACTCTCTGTAAGAAAAGGCAGCATCTTCCTCTTCACTTCTCATGGTGGTCTGTTAAGTGTTTCAATCCCAACACCCTCCGCCAAGCTCAGTACTTTGGCTGTGCGGGCCAGCAAGCTAGCTTCAGAGACTGCCCTGACATGTAGAGTAGTCTCATCATTGCAACCGTTGTTAACAAGGATGTAAAGAATATCAGTTGTCATGCTTGTTTTCCTGGGTAGCCTAAGTACATCAAAGGTCAAGAGCTAAACTATACTAGAACCATACTGTTCACTAGATGCCTGAAGATGTTGGTGTGGGCAGCTGTTTGAGCATGCACGAAGGCTGCCCCGTTAATGATCTCTGTCTTGTTACTATAGGGATGTGTGGACTCCTTGGGCAACGTATCTGTCCCTAGCTTTGGTTTTGGGTTTCACCAAGTCAGGAAAGATTAGGACAGGACTGGACAGAGGAAAAAATTTAGGATGTTCCCAAATATTTGAAGCAGCTTGGGAGGGAGGACAGGCATTAAAGGTCACAACACACAGTCTAGCTAGCCCAAGCACAGGCCACAGTGGCTCCGGTAAGATGGGTCTGAGGGTCAGGGAGCAGTAAGTTGGCACAGCCAGTAAGTGGGTTGTGGAGCAAGCTTTAGGATCAGAGTTTAACCACAGGAACCTACATAAAGGTGGGAGGAGAAAACCTGGAGGCGCGCAGGGGTGGCACTCATCACGCACGAAAATACGGAAAACACGCCCATAAAACCAAAAAAGCCTTTTAATGAATTGCAACTCAACTTCACTAAAAAAAAGTGATTCTTAGCGGACGCAGAATGCCGCGATGGCACCACACACACCACACACACCGGAGGTGGCAGACCCACCCTTTCCGACGTCCTCCCCAATGCTTCTCCGATCCCGCCTCCTCCCGGAAGCAACGACATAAGCCACGCCCCATTGAATGTAGTTGGTTTCTCGGCGCGCGTGGATCCTATGGATCGCGTGTGTGTGGAGAGTCCTATGGAAGATTCAAGCAATGAGGAGGAAGACCTTGACTCCACGAAGGCAGCACCCCGGATACGTGATACCCCAGAAGACATCGTGCTGGAAGCGCCAGCCAGTGGCCTGGCGTTCCATCCCACCCGAGACCTTCTGGCAGCAGGGGATGTGGACGGGGACGTGTTCGTGTGAGTGGGGCGTAGGGAGGAGGCGTGGGCGCAGGCGCGTTCGGCGTGGGCGCAGGCGCGTTCGGCGTGGGCGCAGGCGCGTTCGGCGTGGGCGCAGGCGCGTTCGGCGTGGGCGCAGGCGCGGTCGGCGTGGGCGCAGGCGCGGTCGGCGTGGGCGCAGGCGCGTTCGGCGTGGGCGCAGGCGCGGTCGGCGTGTGGGCGCTAGGTTCTTAAAGCTCCTCTGGGGTGGAGTGGGTTAGGGGCTGGAGAGGGTTAGGGGCTGGAGAGTGTGGCGGGAAGACATTGTCTAAGATTCAGGCGGCCTGATTCGTTCAGTAACATTCCTGTATCTTCCCACATCTCACACCATCTTTTTAATTTTATTTTTAGACAAACTCCAGGTGTTGTGCCTGGAGCTTGACGATGCTGGCTAGTCTCACTTGCTAGTGTTCTTGCCTCAGGGATCCCATCTCTGCTTCCTAAATACTGGGATTAGAGTTGGCCCTCATACCTGCCCAATTTACATAGGTTTTGGGTATACCAAGGATAGAGGCAATCACTTTATCCACTGAACCATCTCCCGAGCCCTCCACCTCTTTTGTTTTAACTTGTCAGGACTGTGACATTGTTCAGAATATACAGTAATTAACTTTCTTTGGCTTCTGTGAACTCTGTTATTAACCTTCCAACTTCTGGGGCTGGGTTTCTGTCTAGTTATTTCCTTTGAGACAGGATCTCTCTATGATCCAGAATAGTTTTTTTTTTTTTTTTTTTTTTTACTTTTCGAGACAGGGTTTATCCATATTGCTTTGGAGGCTGTCCTGGAACTAAACTAGCTCTGTACAACAGGCTGGCCTTGAACTCACAGAGATCCGCTTGCTTCTGCCTCCCTAGTGCTGGGATTAAAGGTGTGTGCCCAGCGACCCAGAATAGTCTTAAAGGATCTGGCTCCTGTCTCAGATCCCCTCACTCCTTAGTTTTTAGAGAGGTTTCTCTGTATCTCGACTGTCTTGTTAATTTGCTCTGTAGACCAGGCTGGCCTCAACTCACAGAGATCTGCCTGTCTCTGCCTCCCAAATTCTGGAATTAAAGGCATTCGACACCAACAGACCCAGTTTGCCATTAGTTTAATCAAGGCTCTGGTACCCCCTCCCCCCACTTCCCCCTGCCTCATGAGTGCACCACTACCTCTGGGCTTCAGGCTCTGACTTTTGAGGATGGTAATCTCCACACATAGAAGGATGAGATGAAAGGATTACAAATTCTAGGTTTAACAGGTCGTTGGTGGCACACATCTTTAATCCCAGCTCTTGGGAGGTAGAGACAGATGAATCTCTGAGTTCAAGGCCAGCCTGATCTACAGAGGGAGTTCAGGACAGCCAGGACTACACAGAGAAACCCTGTCTCAAAACAAAACAAAAAAAGAAAAGTTCCAGGCTAGCTTTGACTAGGTAGTGAGAGATCTTGTCACAGCCTGATCCATTTCCCAAAATAGTCCTATACAAATATATCTTGAATTAATATGTGTTGAAATACGATCTAACATTTGAAGTTAATTTAAAATGGATAAATGAGCCAGGTGGTAGTGGTGCACACCTTTAATTCCAGCACTTGGGAGGCAGAGGCAGGTGGATCTCTGAGCTCAAGACAAGTCTGGTCTATGAGTACCAGGACAGAGCTACAGAGAAACCCTATCTTGAAAAATCAAAACCAACCAAACAAAAGTAACTAAAAATAAATAAAATAAAAAGAAAGAATGGATAAATAAGCTGAGGATGTGTGGTTCAATTGTAGAGTTTTACTTAGCATGTGTGAAAGCCTGAGTTCCATCTCCAGTACTACAGAGAAAATCAATAAACTCTTTGGTTTCAGAAGTACCCTACCTACAAGGGAAGGTTGGTAAAACCAAGGTGCTCCATGGTTTCAGGTGTGGTATGGAGTTACTCTCTTCCTTTCCTCAGCTTTTCATACTCTTGTCAGGAGGGAGAAACCAAGGAACTTTGGTCCTCAGGACACCACCTCAAGTCCTGCAGAGCTGTTGTCTTCTCAGAGGATGGGCAGAGTAAGTACTAGGGAAGGCAGCCAGCCATGTGGTAGAGGGCAGAGGGCAATGAGCAATACCATAAGCTGGACCTTTCCCCCCTTGTTACAGAACTTGTTACTGTCTCTAAGGACAAAGCAATCCACGTATTAGATGTTGAACAGGGACAGTTGGAAAGACGCATTTCCAAGGCTCACAGGTAAGGAAAATCAATTAGGTGTACGTGCACCTGGTAAGGGGTAAGGCCTGAGAGGTCTCTATTAGAACAAACCCATATTCTGTTTCTCCAGTGTCCCCATTAACAGTTTGCTGCTTGTGGATGAGAATGTTCTAGTTACTGGGGATGACACAGGTGGTATCCGGCTCTGGGACCAGCGAAAAGAGGGCCCTTTAATGGATATGCGGCAGCATGAGGAATACATTGCTGACATGGCTCTAGACCCAGCCAAAAAGCTGCTGCTGACAGCCAGGTACAACCTTACACCCGGTTCCCTGCTATTTCTCCCTCCAGACCACTTGGTGATGTAGGTACCCACACTGTATTACAGGTCTTCCTCAAATAGAACTTCCTAATCAATCCATTTGTTCTCTACAGCGGGGATGGCTGCCTTGGTGTCTTCAACATTAAGAGACGCAGATTTGAGTTACTCTCAGAGCCTCAGTCAGGCGATCTAACTTCCGTCACCCTCATGAAAGTACAGCTGGGTATGATGGGATGGGGTATATATGCTAGGGGGTTCATTCTCAATTGGCTCTAAAAATATGGTTTATCTTATTAACCCGCAGTATGGGAAGAAGGTGGCCTGTGGATCTAGTGAAGGTACCATCTACCTCTTCAATTGGAATGGTTTTGGGGCTACAAGTGACCGCTTTGCCCTGAGGGCAGAGTCCATCGACTGCATGGTTCCAGTCACTGAGAATCTGCTGTGCACTGGCTCCACTGATGGGATCATCAGGTAAGGGAAGCTAGAGCAGCCCAGGAGCATGGGGAGTGTAAGCCAAGCAGGTCAGTTCATAACACTCTTCTCTGCCCAGGGCTGTGAACATCCTGCCAAACAGAGTGGTAGGCACCGTGGGCCAACATGCAGGGGAGCCTGTGGAGGAGCTATCCCTTTCCCATTGTGGCCAATTTTTGGCCAGTAGTGGCCATGACCAGCGACTCAAATTTTGGAACATGACTCAGCTGCGAACTGTGGTTGTGGATGACTATCGAAGACGCAAGAAAAAGGGAGGGCCACTTCGTGCCCTGAGCAGTAAGGCCTGGAGCACGGATGACTTCTTTGCCGGGTTGAGAGAAGATGGAGATGATGCCAAGACTCCAGAGGTGGTGAAGGACAGCGATGATGACAGTGACTGAGGGCATGAGGAGAATGTCAGGACAAGGAACTGTGTTTTCTGGGACAGCCCCTAAGGAAATTTTTTTTTGATGCTGTAGATTGGACCTACAACCTTGACTATGATAAGCTTAGCTCTACCACTGAGTTAAACCCCAAAGTCCCCAAACAGGAATTTCCAATACTCATGGCCCCAAAGTGGGAAAGTATCTGCTCACCCTACCATTGTAAAACGAACTCTGTTAAACAAAGACAGCACAGACACATGAATAACAACCAGGGGTTTAATATAAATATAACCAGTATAGGAAAAACAAAACAAAAACAAGGAGGGGCCCTTTAGCTCAGCCAGTTCTCCAAATAAAAACAAAGATTCATAGTAAGCTTTTGTGGGTATAATGAATTATTTGTCAAACTGGGAATTGGCCAAGGATATTAAGTCAGAGGTCAAATCTGATCCTAGGCTCAATGGGGGAAGGACAAGTTTCCTCACAACTAAAGTAGCACTTAGGTGTGACAGGGCCCCGCCCCAGCAAAGAAGCTATCACCAGGCCCCTGTCTCTTTTTGATCCAGTCAGTAGTTGCTGCCCAGACCTGCTGGGCTGGGGATTGACATAGGTTCTGCCTACTCTTTTAGGCTGCCTGTTAAGAGGAGGGGGAAGGGTCACTGCTTAATCACAATACCTGCTTCAGCCCTAGGAGACCACAAGCTGGTCCTAGACTCACTCAGTGTTTCTAGCAACTGCGCAGACACAGCATCCTTAGCCACCTCATGCCCATCCTGCCAATCAGAGGCCAGCACAACCCAAATGAGGCCACTGAAAGGCACTGGGTGACCAGGGATTACAACCTGGTACCAAAAGCGATGCCAGCCAGCAGGACCTGTGCCTAAACATTTGGTAAGGAACATTGGGCTGCCTAGCCTCATTCGCTGACACAGTAGCTGCAGAGCAGCCCTAGCCCCTTGGGACCCTAGCCTGTCCCTGCTCTGGGCTACTTGGCTGCCCTCTGGCCGTAGGAACCGCAGTGAGGGGCCTGCAAGCTGCTGGCGGAAGTGCTGCTTCAGATCTGGCTTGAGCCACTCCACAGCGACTTGTTCTCCACAAAGGCGTGACTGCCCTGCAAGAAAAAGGCAAGAGAGACTGTGAAGTGACTTGCCACAGGCTGTTTGAGGCCTGGTGGTGGGACAACTTCCTCAAGCCTCCTTGTATTTGTAACCCCTGGGGCAACACTGGGCATTCAGGCTTTACCTAATCACCATCACAATAGCTAACCCCTTTGGTCAATGAAAGCTGACACAGGAGACAGCACTACAAAGATAAACTGGCTCCTGTGAACTCTTCTACAACTACAATCTTTCCCCTGGAAATATTGAGGACTAAAACACCAGTACAATGGCAGGTGGTGGTGGTGGTATAAAACCTTTTAATCCCAGCACTCAGGAGGCAAAAGCAGGTGGGTGTCTGTGAGTTTGATGCCGGCCTGGTCTACAAAGGAAGTTCCAGGGCATTCAAGGCTACACAGGGAAACCCTGTCTCAAAAAAAAAAAAAAAAAAAAAAAAAAAAAAAAAAAAGAAAAAGAAAAAGAAAAAAAGGATACAACGCATAGGGATTCAGACAAGTGGTAGCTTAAATTTAGGTAAGTAGTGGCTGTAGCACTATTGTATGGTGGCAGATGGTGAACTCCATGCAAGTCTGACTCTTAGGATTTAGGGATATGCTTTTAGGTAGCCAGCCGCCCTCCGCAGTTTCCAACTCCTACCTTCTACCAGGGCCTTTTTGGCCATGGCAGCGGCTCGGTGCGTACTGAACTTGAGCAGCGCAATTTGAGAGGGCGCTGACCCCGGACTGGGTAGCAGCAATGTCTCCTGCAGGCAGGGACCCAGGGGCTGTAGGGCCAGCAGAAGCATATGGCGGTTCAAGCTCGGAGGCAGCCCGTCTACTGTCAGCTCGCACTTCTCGGTGCTTCGGCACACCAGAAGCTGGCAAGAAGGACGCAGCTGGTGGTTGTGCAGCGTAGCAATCGCGGCCTGGGCACCACGCCGCGAGCTATAGCGCGCGTAGGCAAAGCCGCGGTTCAAGCCACTGAAGGTCATCATCAGGCGGAACTCATAGAGACGCCCCACGCGCTGGAAGAGTGGGATCAGCTGGTGCTCATACACGTCCTGGGGTAGCCGTCCGATAAACACCTCGGACCCTGAAGGTGGCGGGCTGCCCACCCAGCCTGGAGGGAGAGGATACAGAGGGCTCTTGTCGTCTACTGAGATGGTTCTATTTCTAAGTCCCAGGAAACAGCTGGGGTGTGGGGGACGAGCAGGAAGACCTTCATCTAGAAATACCGACACCCTTCTGGCTCCGGGTCGTTAGCATAATTAGGCGACTGGACTTCGTAAACAACCAGGCTGGCACTGAGTGGGTGTACTACCCTGGACCGTCAGAGTGGAAAGGAAGCCAGACAAATAACCACATCTAATTAGAGATTATGTCAGGTAGTTTGGGATTTCTGACTTTGGAGCCTAGGGCCCGGCCCTTCCCACAAGAGTGGCCGAGGCCTGTGTAGTGCAATATGGGGTGGGGCTACCATACCTGGGGGTGGTCCGCCATACTTCCTTTGCCCGTTGACCTGCACCAGGCGGATGCCAGTCTCCCTTACCCACGCCTCCAGGGCTGCCTTGTTCTCTGGATTCACCCTCTCACACCATTGCTGGGGGAAAGAGGTAGGTTGGAACAGCGTATCACCGGCCCCCGGTCCCACCTCGTCTGAGGTTTTGGGGTCACTGTAAGCCCCTTGTACAGGCGGGGACAAGGACCCCTTACATCTTTCTCCAATTACTTACCTCACATTCACGTTTCGACTGCATAGCTCTCCCCTAGCTCTGCCACTCTTTGGAACTTCCTTGAGCTTCTGCCTCTGGAAGATTCCCTGCCCTCCACGCCCCCCTCAAGCTCTCATTGGCTCTGAGAGCGACCCCGCCTCTCAAGGAGGTATTCATTACACGTGCGCGAGCCCCTGGAAATCTGGAAACCCTCTTAGGACCGTGTGTGGGAGGAGCTCCATCAACAGAGGTGGGGGGTGGGGCGGAGTTGGGGCAGGATGGACCCCGGGCAGGCGCACAAGGTGTCCTTTAACCAGCGGGTTTGAGAAGGCGTCCTATGGTTCACACCAGTCACTAAAGTGGTTTGAATGATTCAGGACCTGAGGAGGAAGGTACCACTAGGCATTACAGACACAGACAGGCATTAGCGTCAGAGTCATTTATTGGACTTTTTGGCGGCAGGTTGTAGGGAGGCATCTGTTCATTTGCATCTGGTGTGTGGTTCTGCAACGAAGCCACAGAAGGTCCATGCAGGAGTTTAGGAGTCAGTCTTGATTAATCCAACTATACTGTTCCTCCCCATCCCCGACAAGGAAACGGTAGTGCCTGGCCTTTTTTTTTTTTTTTTTGCCAGTGATTACCAATAACAACAAATAAAAATAAAAACAAAAAAGCCTCTGTTCTGACCACTCTTCAGTCTTCTGCTGGATCAGAAATGTGCAAACTGCTTAAGTACATATGCAGCTTTGTTTTAGTTCAAATGAGGCCAATCCTGCTTCCTCTGCTAGTCTGCTTGGTTCAGCAGATGGGGAGGGGCTGATTTGTTCTTCTTCTGATCTCCTCCACAAGATCTTCCCTTCGGACATCCACCTAGCCAGGATGGAGGAAGAAGATATGAGCGTCTTCAGCTCAGCTATTTACTGATTACTTATAGTTATCATGTTTGGCTCACTGGGACATGTACCCAGTTAGACACCCCAGGGTAAACAATGCCCCTAGTAAAACACTTGCATGTGGATCCTGGAGATCTTAAATGCCATGGTTATAGTTAAAGCCTAAGCCCCCAGGTTCATTATAAGTTAGTACTGTATAAGGCTAGGGTCTCAAACAGGCCTGGGCCAACCAGCATTTGATGCCCCTTGTCCTTTAGCCTTACCTCTTCTCTGCTAGTCACTGAACGGAGCTTGATGACACCATCCTTGAGCTCCTGCTCCCCAATGATGGCTACTAGTGGGATGCCTGCTTCCTCACAGTACTGCAACTGGTTCAGTAACTTTGGGTTCTTCTTGTAGAGCAGCTCAGCCTGCAAATGACCAAAGAAGAAAACAAAGGCTTCTGTTGCTCTCAGGGAGAAAAATTCGGGGTGGGGTTAGGGATGCAGCAGGTACTTGTTCTTTGATCCATCTCAAGTAATGGGAGAAGCACTATGTACATTTCCATTAGTTTGTGCCAAGTACTCCCAAGTTTGCTATCACCCTGGGGATTGCCTCCTGTACCTTGATCCCAGCATCCCACAACTCTGAGACAAGCTTCAGTCTCTCCTCCAGCAGCTTCTTCTGTGCAGATGCCACAAGCACCTGTGTCTCAGTGGTCCGAACCTTTTCCTCTAAAGCCTAGGGAGAGGCAGGCAAGGGTCAGAGCGGGACTAAGCAATCAAAGAACAGGGAAGGCTGTCGTTAGGATCCTGAGAGACTAGGTCCAACTCTGTGAGCTCAACTAGGGCGGGGTCCCAGCCTTCTCATCTACCAATAGGACAGAAAAATAGTTCCTAGAAGGTGTAAGAAAGGAACTAACTTGTATGACTTGTCAGAATAAATGATGAATGGAAAGCTGGGTACATCTATAATTCTAGTACTTGGGAGGGAGACAGAAGGCTTGCCTTGAATATGTGAGTTTGAGGCTAGCATGTCTCCAAAAAACAACAACAACAACAAAAAAATCCCAAAACAAAACAAAAAGCAAAAAAGCCCCCAACCAAACAAAAAACAAAACACTAAGAAAACAAGTAAGGGGGCTGGAGAGATGGCTCAGCAGTTAAGAGCACTCGCTCTTCAGAAGTCCTGAGTTTGATTTCCGACACCAACATGGCCGCTTACCGCCATTTGTAATTCCAGTCCCAGGGATCTGATGCCCTTTTCTAGCCTCTGTGGGCACCAAGCACAGACATACAAGTAGGGAAAACGCCAAAATACAACAACAAGAAAAAGGAATAAATGTCCCAGGGTAGCAGTAGAGTAAGTCAAAATTCCTGTCAGCTCAGGAGGCAGAGGCAGGTAGATCTCTGTGAGTTTGAGGCCAGCCTAGTCCACAGAGAGTTCCAGGACAGCCAGGGCTATTATACAAAGAAACCCTGTCTCAAAAAAACCAAAATCAAACAAATCAAAACAAACTCCTTTCCATATAGGTTAGGGGCCACAGCACAATCACAAAGGAGGAGTACTATGAGGCCATCTCAAACCACCACTGGCTTCTAGTCTTCACCTTCACTCTCCCAACTGTGAGACTAGGTATGTGTGGAAACAGGAACAAGGAAGGCTGCTACTGCCCCTCAACTTTTTCTGGAAAACTATTTCAAAGTTACAGCATAAGATGCCTACTAGAATAATGATCTCAAGTGGGAAACATGGGTGGTGTCATCCTAGAGAAAAAAGACAGGAATAGTGGGAAAGTTGCCAGATCATTCCTGAAAAATCAAATACAAGGAACCACTGAAGAGTACCAGCAACAGCTGGGTGAGTACCAGCAACAGCTGGGTGGTGGTGGCAGTGCACACCTTTAATCCCAGCACCAAGGAGGCAGAGGCAGGACTGTTACAACATAAAGAAACCCTGTCTCAAAAAACAAAACAACAACAACAAAAAAGAGTATCAGTAACAAAGGGGCGCTTCCTTGGTGTTACTCTAGATCCCAGGGAATCAGTGCAGCCATTGGAGTAAACCCAGGGCGAAATACTGAGTTCAAAGCCACCCTGGATAACTTAGGGAGACCCTGTGAAAATTAGCACAGTGGTAATAGTGCTTGCCTAGCACGCACAAGTCCAGGTTTAATTTCCAGTATCATAAAACATATATACAGACACACACAAAACCAGACTATATAAGAGTGAGACTCTCTGAAGGCTAACAACCATCTCTTCTGCATTTCTCAAAGATACTCCCTGTCCAAAGCAGCACCTGTCCCTAAGAAGTGAAAGGTAGCATGGGTATCATCATCTGCCCTTCTGGGTTCTACCCACCCCAGGACTCACCTCTAATCTTTGCTCTACAATGGAGAAGATCCGCTCTACTCCAATACTGAGCCCAACGCATGGAACCTTGCGCCCTTTGGGGTCAAACATGCCTACTAGCCCATCATAGCGCCCTCCAGCAGCCACACTGCCCACACCCAGGGGTTCTTCCCCAGCCTGGGTTGGCATCTGTAGCAGCACTGCCTCATAGATGACCCCAGTATAGTAGTCCAGCCCTCGAGCAAGGCTCAGGTCAAAGGAGATCTGTGGAGGTAAGGTCATGGTCAGTACTAGATTAGGATCAGGCACTCCAAGCCACAGAGGTCAGCTAGGGCTCCTCTCTCTAACTTGATTACCTTGTCATCAACGCCAAACAGGGTTAGATATTCAAACAGCAGCTTTAGGTCTCCCAAGCCCTCCAAGGCCTGTTTGTTTTGGGAGAGTTTAGGATCCTGGAGCAACTGCTCCACCAGAGATACCCCACCTGAGGAAACACATTTGTAGGTCACACTGACAAGAAAAAAAAACAGCAGGTCTGCCTTTTGTCTGGGTGGCAGTAAACGTACACATGAACACTCCCCCTACTACACCCCCCCCCCACACACACGTTTCAATTTTAGGACTGAGGGCAGAGCTATGGTTGCTGGGTTTTTTGTTACCATGCTGCTGGACATAGTCTCCGATGCGATCGGCCACTTCTGGTGCAAGGCCCTTCTCTCCCACCATCTCATTCTTTACTTCCTCCCAGGAAACCTGGGCAGACAATAGCACTTAGAAGCCACTACATAGCTTCCCTACCACAGAACAAGTGTGAACCCTTTTCAAAAAAGCAATCTGAGACCAAAGCTGCCCTTCAACCTACATGCTGGAGTCAGAGCTCCTCCCCTGGGCATAGAGGCAGCTACCTCTCCCTCCTAAACTTTCTCATTGTTAAAACAGGGTAGGATCTAGAAAGAGTCAGGCATCTGGGTTATTACCTTATCTAGTTTGTCCACTGAGGAGCAGATGGTACGGAACTTGCTATCAGGGACACCACAGACAGCAAACATTCCATCTAAGATGCGCCTGTCATTTACCTGTGAGGAGCAAGGTACAGGGAAGAAGGAATCTGCTTATTTTCTGCTTATTTTGCACAATTCCCAATTGTCTCTACCACATGGGCTACTGATGCCTCTGCACAAGGACTTCTCCCTGTGAGAGGCCAGGCCCTACCTTGACTACCCAGTCCCATCCAGTTCTGACCTTGACCAGGAAGTTGCCTATCTGAAGAGAACTCAGGATCTCACACATGATCTTCAGGCACTCTGCATCAGGAATCATGGGGTCGAACTGGCCAGCGATGTCAAAATCCTGTAGGGAAATAGAGGGAGGAGAGGGGTGGCATGTCAGACTCCCCAAACCTCTGCGGTCTGCACTGAAGCACAGTCCTCCCCTCTCTGTTTCATCAGCTCTCGTGTTCTCACCAGTCCTGCTATCTTGTCCATTATGGAACTACTCTTCCTCAGCAGCCACTTCTTCATGTTCTCCCTCAACTTCTGCTGTTGTGGGGGCAAAAGCCCAGCCTTAGTCAGGGTCTCTGTGTGTGTGTGTCTCTCTCTCTGAGGTAATACTTGGTCAGGGTCTGTGTGTGTGTGTCTCTCTCTCTGAGGTAATACTTGTCAGGGTCTCTGTGTGTGTGTCTCTCTCTCTGAGGTAATACTTGTCAGGGTCTCTGTGTGTGTGTGTCTCTCTCTGAGGTAATACTTGTCAGGGTCTCTGTGTGTGTGTGTGTGAGGGAGTAACTGGTCAGGGTCTCTGTGTGTGTGTGGGGTCTGAGGTAATACTTGGTCAGGGTCTCTCTCTCTCTGTGTGTGTGTGTGTGTGTGTGTGTGTGAGGTAATACTTGGTCAGGGTCTCTCTCTCTCTCTGTGTGTGTGTGTGTGTGTGTGGGGGGAGGTGGGGGGGGGGGTGTGTGTGTGTGTGTGTGGGGGTGTGTGTGTGTGTCTCTCTGAGGTAATACTTAGTCAGGGTCTCTGTGTGTGTGTGTCTCTGAGGTTAATACTTGGTCAGGGTCTCTCTCTCTCTGTGTGTGTGTGTCTCTCTGAGGTAATACTTAGTCAGGGTCTCTGTGTGTGTGTGTCTCTGAGGTAATACTTGGTCAGGGTCTCTCTGTGTGTGTCTCTCTCTGAGGTAATACTTAGTCAGGGTCTCTCTGTGTGTGTGTGTGTGTGTGTGAGGTAATACTTGGTCAGGGTCTCTGTGTGTGTGTGTC